TAACAAAAATATAATGCGAACCCATTCAGCGCTTAAGTAGTCTATTGGGCACGAACAAAAAATAATGAAATTTTCATATCTATAATATATATATTTTTCTTTAAAAAATTGTAGGACTGACATATGCATTAATATTTGAATAAATTTATTTAAAAAAAATATAAAATTTAAATTTATATTTATGATGAAATTATTTCTTTGATTTCCATATTACTGGATAATTCTTAATTATTAATTCTCTATTAATAATGTAGACCATAAATATTTATTTCGTAATTAATAAATTTAACATACAACTTTATAAGTTTTTGTTCAATTTTATAACTATAATATAATTATTCTTTGTCGGGTATCGAATTGTTTATAAAATTATACTTAAATTAAAAATTTATAGCATTAATTATTTTGAATTTTGTTTTTTTTTTAAGTTTTTTTTATATTTTTTATTAATTTTTTTAAATTATAGACAAATACTGTAAGTCTTGAATTGAGAATAAAACTGGGGTAGAAATACATATACGATTTTATACTTCACATAATATTGAGTTAAATAAATATATTGTGTGACAAATATATATTTTTTGTTTAAATTTACGTTTTATTAATAAATATTTTACAAATAAATTATTTACTTAATAAGCTAATATTTAATAATATATGCTTCTTATTTGAAGTGAGAAATATCTGCTCTTAAATGAAATATAAAGTCCATATACATGAACCTATCAATCTTGTCATTTTTGCATTATTTTATTAAATTAGTCGATTTATTCATTGTAATCTAGAGATTTACTGTGCCCCCTATTTAAGTATATAACATAGTTAGTCTTTTTTTTCATCCGATATAAGATATCCATCTAGACATTTCTTTCGATTATGTTCATTGGTTTAAAGAATTCCATTGTTTTTAATATATTTATAGTACATTGGAATACATTGTTATAATTATTAAATAAATATATACAAATTTGGTACAGCACGAGTTCGATTCCTAGTACTTGCAGTCTCAAAAAATTATTTACGAATAATTAAATACAAAGATTATACTGGTGATGGGTATTTGGCAATACTCGAAACAGCCAAAAAATTTAATTAATTAAAATAATATAAAATAAATTTTTGTTGTGGTAATTCACTACTGTTTGAAAAACCTCTTTATAAATAAATAAAAAAATTTGTTTTTTAGCATTACTATATTATAATGTTAGGTACTTACATTTTTATAATTTTTAACTTATATATTTAAAACTTATAAAAAACAAAATTACTTTCAAACAATAGTTTTGTGTTAAATATTATGACATAATTAATATTTACCTTTTTTATATTGACACTAATTAATATTTTGTGTAAATGAATTATTTATTTTATTAAAGAGTCAGTTTATTAAAAAATAAATTGAATACTGAGTATAAATTGCTTTATTTTGTATATATATATATATAAATGCTATTAATACTATAATATCATATTTTAATATCACTTTACAGCAAAACATATACTTATATGTTATTGTTTTTTTATATTAAATGGTTCCGTCATATTAAACAATATTTAAAACAATGAATTTTTTATTTACATATACACTTACATTTGTGTATTATTGAAAATTTTATAAATTTTTTTTTTTTAAGTATCAGTTATCAAAAATCACTTTTTTGATTTGAGATTAGACAAAAATAATTTTTTTTATATTATTTTTAGTTAATTTGTTTTGCCACTTTTAAATTGTCTACAGTTTTAAATTTAAATAGAAAACTTTATATTATAAACCAAACTTAAGTCCTGTCTTATACATTTAAAAAGGAATGTGTAACATTTTTTAAATAAAATTTATTTCAATTAAAATTTTTTTCACCGTCTAAAAAATTTCCATCTAAATTTCGAAAACGTTCAACCAACACTGAAATGTCGATAAGAAATCGCACCGAAGATTGTGTGCCTCGAGCAAAATTGCAAATCTTTTTATACATTTCCTCCCCTGAAAAATTGTTGCTAATTGTTATTAAAATATGTAACACGACCGATCTCATTAAGTCGGCTACTAAATTACTTACCACATGTGTTATAGGAAAACTGTTATACTCTGTTCGAATTGACATCCGTTTATCTATGAAATCGATTTTTTTTATCGTCAGCAGTAATTTTACTTTATAATTCGACGCGAATCAACGCTTTTTTTTTATTAGCTGAACTCGAAGATTTGTTATCGGTTCTTATCATGTAATTTGCAACAGTATCTTTATTAAAATATTACATATGTATGTGTACATATAAAAACATAAACATATATATTAGATGTGTTATTTCTAATTTTTTAAATTGTGAAATTCTTAATCATATTATGAATGAAATAAGATAAAGAGTTTTATACAAAACAAAACAACATTTAAAAGAGAAAGTTATCGTATTAAATATACAATATATATATAAATTTTTTTAATTAATTAATATTTTTTTTTATATAAATATTAAAATTAAAATATTAAAAAAAAATACAAAAGCATATAATTTCTAGTCTATGGTATTGCAAGATTATGTTCAATTCTGATTATGCGGATATCCGATTTTAGGATGGATTTCCATGAAATGAGCTATTTTGTGCAATTTTTTTTAATACATTATATAGCGCACATTTTGAGATACCTAGGTTTATGTTTGTTAACTTTTTACTTAGATTACACTAACAAAAATTACAGACGCCATCTAGTGTTAACTAATATCTACAATATATAAAAATTTCTATCTACGAAAATTAAACTGAACTATACTGGTATATACCGTAATTAACGATGTTAAAAATTCTGTATCTTTTTATCTGATTAATACCATATTTTAATATATATTATTGATACACTCTATATAAGTTTTCCTGTTTTAAATTTGTATTTTTGCAAACATATCGAAAAATATTTAAGCATTTATATTAAACTAAGAAATATCTCGGACTATTAATTACGTATAACCTTTCCTACATCAAACATTTGACTTCTAAACTCTCCTTAGGTAAAAGTGCAATTAACTCGACATGGGCAAAGTATTTGTCTAATCCTAAACTAACTTTTAAAAATAAATTGAATATTTTCTACTCGGCACCACGTTTGATTGTACTTTACGGTGCCCAAGTTTGGGGATACAAACACTATGATCAAGTGGAAAAACTTTTTAGATTTTTTATAAAAAAGATACTATTTCTATCCACTAACACCTCCAACTATATGCTCCACTTAGAAACGGGTTTACCGACGCAGTTCTTAGACACAATACAAACACATTTCGCATATGTAAGAAAAATTCTTAATCTCCCCCCCACAAGGCTTCCTCGAATATTAGCGGAACTTATAATTAGTAAAGGTATATATTGGGCCAAAGATTGGGAAAATATGTGTTTAGAACTGGGTGTTTTAATAACCAGTTTTAGGAGAATGGACCTTAAACTATTGCACAAAAATATTATAACTTTATATGAACGGAGGGAACACGATTCTTTTGTAACTAATGCTACGTCGGGATCTCATGACATATACCCACAGCTACAATATGACATTATGCATAATTTTTATTTTGAAAACACTCAGCACATATCGAGCCTACTTTTTAAATGTAGAGGCGGTCTTTTTAATCTGAACGGTAGAGAGTTTAATACATCTGACCGTAATTGTTCTCTGTGTAATCGTCATGAAATAGAAAATATATGTCATATTATTGGTGTATGTCCAATTTTCAGAGAACATAGGCGTATTTTTTTTTGATAAAGCATTTCTGTCTGAAGAAGAAGTGAAAATCTTATTAAACGGTAGCAATATTTATAAACTGTATAAATTTATGAAAAGTGTTTTGAGTTACAGAAAATTAATTATTGAAGAATATATATAAACAATAATGTTAATATTATGCACCTTCTTTGGTATGTCAATCGGACACACAACAAATATGTTATTGTCAATTTAGATTTTAAGTAAAATCCTATAATTTTTGTAAGTGAGGTATAAATTTTTTTTTTTTTAGAATCAATAAATAATAATAATATTAAACTAAGAAATATTTAGTTATTTTTAGTTTATATTATAGATTTCAGGATTTTTATAATAATTTTTATAATGTATTTTTTCTAAACCGATGTCGTACTATGTCTCAACAAGGCGCCTTTGTAGTATTTTAGCGTCTAAACTAAATCAAGGTAACTCAAGTTATTTATTTGTATATGTATTTAATAAATTGATAAATAGTAAACAAGACCATTATTTTTAATTGCGTTATATCGCAGGATTTATATATTGCAGTTTTTCTTAGTCCCTTTTGTACTATGCCTCACATGGGCGCATAATATTTTATTTTAAATATTCACGATGTGACACTACCGACATAACAAAAACGTTTTCAGCGCTCGTATTTACTTAGAGAATGGTAACAAAGGTGGAAGCAAAGCACGCTGGACCAATCTACTTATTCTTAATAATAAAGAATGGGTAATATGGACTTCTATTTGTCCTAGATATTGAGCGGCCACAGACGTTGTAGAAAGCTCTAGACTGTCACAAAATAGATTTTCTGTAAACTATAAATCAAAAATAAGTAAGAATATTCATTTATTGCACAGAAATATATTGTATTTAAACTGCAGTAAATTTTAAATTTATTATATTCATTCGTACATAATGTATTTTTTTACAAGATTTGCTTAGTATTCTCTATTGCGAACTAAGAGACATTATTCTTTATTTCTTATTAAAGAATAATTATTTATTTATTTATCTTTTATATCTTTATCATTTGGAGGTTAAGAGTTAAGAGATGTTGTGGACTTTATTCCTGGTCTCTTTATAGGGGTTCGAGTTAGAAAGTAATCTGTATATAGTTATGAGATCCTTTTTATTTTGATTACAAGTATAATGAATACTTACAATAAATAAATATTGTGGAACTATAATTCTAAAAAATTATTAAATAAAAGTAATAGTGAAATAATAATTCGATAGGAAAGTTTGCATGGTATATTATGAACATAATTGAATTTCTTTTTGTAAGTTCTTTATAAAAATCTTTTATAAATATGAAATCTTGATTCAATTGGTATATACGAGACCTTACTAAGTAATGCCATGTAAAATAAACAAGTTCTAATACATATGACTTATAGATCTAACAGATGAGTGGTTTATAATCCAGGCATTAGTCCATAAATAGACTATCGATAAATCTATGTAACATGTTAACAATACTACAACAGTAGTAAGATAGTTAGAAAAGCATATCTCAAGCTTTAGAAGAACTGAGTTTATCGTTATAATACTCAGTTCATACTTTAAAGTGGATGTTTTAATAACTTATAATTAGTTATATTTTTTAATTTTTGAAAAAATAGTTTTTAACCTTAAATTAAAGAATAACGTATAATTTCTCAATCACATAAATTATCTATACAAACAATAACAGTCTGGGTAATTATACATAAAATTATATAAAAACTTGTAAGTCTGATTGGTACATCTGATAAATTAAAAACAATCACTATGAGACTTGTTGCATTATATAAAGTTTAGCATACATTCCATTGAGCATCATCAGTTCCTTATGTGTTCCTTTTTCTACTATTAAACCTTTTCTTAAAACATATATCATGTTTGCATCTCGTACTGTTGTAAGGCGGTGGGCTATTGTTATACAAGTTCTACCGCTTCGAGCAGCATCCAAAGCTTCCTGAACCACTTTTTCACTTTCCAAATCTAACGCAGATGTGGCTTCATCCAAAATAAGTGTCTTTGGATTTCTTAACAAAGCTCTTGCGATGGCAATGCGTTGCTTTTGACCACCGGATAATTGTGCGCCTTTACTGCCTAAGGAAGTACTATAACCTTGAGGTAAGGAAACAATGAAATTATGAATATTCGCTTTCTTCGCAGCTTCCATTATCTCAGCCATAGGCATGTCATCACGAAAGTTATTTCCATAAGCAATATTTTCTGCAATTGTTCGATCGAATAATACAGGTTCTTGAGATACTAGACCTAAGCTTGAACGCAAACTATCTATTGAATATTCTGTAGTTGGTATACCATTTATATTGATTGAACCACTATTTGGATCATAATAACGAAGTAAAAGTTGTACGCATGTCGATTTACCAGATCCAGAAGGTCCCACTAATGCTACAGTGGTTCCACTTTTAATATCCAAGTTAAGATTTTGTAATATTTGTAAACCTTTTTTTGTTGGATATTGAAAGTTAATATTTTCGTATGTAATATCACCATCTATTTTCTGTAAATTATATTTTAAAACATATTTTACAATTTTAATAATGAATATATCTTACCTCAGTTGCTTTAAGACTTTTGTTTGTTTCCATTTGCATTGCCGGAGGTCTCTTTAATAAAGTCAATAGTCTTCCAGCAGATAACATAGCGGCCCCTACATTTGGTGAGTATGCTAAAGCATGTCCCAACATCCACGAACTGAATACTAAAGCTTCTGTTACTCTAAATAGTATTACTGTCTAATTAATGTGTTATGTTTAGTAAACTGCTAACTTACTTTATAACGTCTTCATATGCCAAAACTTCATTAGCAACTAACAATCCTCCGTAATAAAGTGACACACCATATGCAAAGAAAGGTGATGCTTGTCCTAAACCATATACAATTCCTCGAAATCTAACCTTTCTGCGACAAACTACTTCGGCATGATCGATTTGCTCATTATAGCGACTCAGTGCATTTCTTTCCAATCCCAAACTGGCTACAGTACGTATGTTTGAAATCGCTTCAACTGCTACTTGTGAAGCATTTTCGATGGCAAGCTTTTCAGCAAGTGCACTTGATTCTATAAACCTTGCCTCAAAAAATACCGATAAACAAACAGCAGGCACGGTGAAGATTGTAACTAAAGTTAAATTCCATGAGTAAATAAAAGCTACAATAATACTGAGACTTAGTGTCGATAGTGCCTGAACGATCATTCCAATTCTTGCGCCAGTAGCCTAAGAAACATTAGTGACATCACTAACTTTATTGGTAATTAATAGTAATATACCTACACTTTGAATATTTGAACAATCACTTGATAATCGAGCACACAAAGCACCCACAGAATTTTTTTTATCATCAAAGTATGCAGTTTCTTGATTAATAATTGTCCTGAAAACTAGTTTACGAAGACGAGATGTCATCTTTACTCCCGCGATATTGAGCATATAATTTTGTATTAATATTCCTAATCCTGCAATTATGCCTATTATAATAAAGATGCATGAAATTACGTTAATTTGGGATTGTACGAAATCTGAATTCGTGTCGGACAAAACCTGTGAATTCAAATAATTTTGTAGATATAGGATTCAAATACATTGTATGATATACCCACTCCAAAATAGTCACCGAAAATTATAGCAAAAGCGGAAAAAGTAGATCCATGTATTATTGCTGCTATACATCCAGCCAGTAAAAAAGGCCATTCAGGTGCATTTAATTTCATTAATTCCGTGAAGGAAACTTTGTATTTTTCAAGCTCCTTTTCCTCAATTGATTTTCCTAAGAAGAAATATTGATGTATTATTAGAATTCTACATTTTCTATAAGATATCAATAGTATATTAGTACAGAAAAAAATTTTGTCCCAAATATTGTTTCCATATATTATTACCATTAGTCTTAAAACTACCAGGTAGGTGTGTATAAAGTTTTTTTTTAAACTAAATTATTAAGGTTCACTATCAATAAAATCAGTGACAGTCAGTTTTATATAAATATCAATAACTTATTCATATTAGTCTTAAGCACTATATTTATTAAATTCAATATCATATTTTGCTAACTTACTTTTACCACTTGTGGGTATGTCTTGTGGTAATTTCCCATTGCAACTGTTATAATTTTCAAAATCTTGCTCAGGAATTACTTTGTTTCCAGAATTTGAATTGATCATATTAGCTTCATTTGCGTCAGCTTCTACTTCTTCTTTCCTTTTATTTATATTTACAAGTTGAAAGTAAAATCCTTTTTTCTCCATCAGTTCTTGATGAGCTCCCTGTTCAACAACCGCACCATCCTTAACGAATATAATGAAATCGGCCTTAGTTATTGTAGATAATCGATGTGATACTATAAATGTGGTTCTATTTTTACTAGCATCTTCTAAAGCGTCCTGCACTTGTTTTTCAGATGAGGAATCTAATGCAGAAGTGGCTTCATCCAAAAGTAAAATTTTTGGATTACGTACTAGAGCACGTGCAATAGCAATACGTTGTTTCTGTCCACCGGACATTTGAGCACCTCTCTCTCCAACCAATGTGTCATAACCATTTGGTAATTTACTTATAAAATCATGACAATTTGCCATACGTGCAGCTTTTTGTATATCTTCTACACTTGCTGATAGATTTCCATAACGAATATTCTCCTCAATTGTTGTTGCAAACAGATCAGGTTCTTGTCCAACCACACCAATTTGGGAACGTAACCAACTCACATTTAAATCTTTAATATTTATACCATCTAATCGAACTGTTCCATTTAGGGGATCATAAAAACGTTGTATTAATTGTAATATGGTTGATTTGCCACAACCTGAAGCACCAACCAAAGCTACAGTTTGACCAGCTTTAATGTTTAATGAAAAACTGTTTAGAATTCCTACATCTCCACGTGCAGGGTAATGAAAATAAATTTTATCAAAAGAAATATTTCCAACGACATTGAAAGGTTTTAAACCACTTTCGTCTAGAAAATCTATAGCTGATTTACGTTGTATAGTTGAAAAAATATTTTGTGAAGCTCCTTTCGCTGCATTGAATGTCTCTAAATGCTGCGATGCAAAACCAAAATTTCGAGAACCCAATAATATGCTAAAAACAATAATGATTAAAACAGCTGGAGTGTAGTGTTTAATATCTTCATCACGTTCAGCAAGTATAAGCTTTGCACCATACCATAAAGAAAGAGCGTAAAGGCAATGAAAATTAAGCCACATTATTCCTGCACTTATACCAGAATACAGACCCTTTTTCCGGCCAATGTTCTCAGCGGGAATAAGTAATTTTTCGAACCTCTCAGATTCCTTTTGTTCACCACTGAAGGCGAATACAGTACGAATACCAGAGAATACTTCCTCAGCTATAGTTCCAGCTGTAGAATATGACTTTAATTCCTTTTTAGTGAGGGAACTTTGTATTTTGGTAAGCATAACTGTAGAGATTATGAGAAGAGGACAACAAATAATATCGACCAAAGTCATTTCCCAGCTATAGAAGAAGGAAGTGATAATACCACTAACAAATGTCATTATTAGAAATATAAAAATTCCAATCTTCTCTCCCATGCCATCTTTAATCTTATCCAGATCTCTGTGTGGGGAAAGAATTGGTTTGAATTAGAATCAAATAGTTTTTTTTTTAATATAGTTTAGACTTACTCTGTTAATTTACTCGCAAAATTATTTTCCGAGGTTGTATCATACCAAGACATATCTTGACGGAGGATTGATTCCAAAAAGAGTTTGCATATTTTCCCAATCTACGTAAAGATTTGTTTATGTGTGTGTTTATTTATACGTAAATTGTATTTGTTTACCTGTTTCAACGCAACATAATTAAATATATCAACTGCAACGGCTAAAAACAACCATTCCAATAAAGCTCCAATTAAACTAGCTATTCCAAATGCTAAAGCATCATCTCTAATAGCCTGTAGATTTTCTTCTCTAGAGGTGTTTGTTCTAAAAATGGCACAAGCATTTTTTTTGAAATATACAAGTATTTTAATAAATATTTTTGTGTAGTAACTTGATAACTTACAGTTTAGTACCGCCTCCAAAAAGTTGCAAAATCGTGGCAGGCGAGGAAGTACCAATTCCGACTGAACGATCTATTAGTAATGATGCAAATTCTGCATATATTATTATAGAATATGTTATGCATACTTAAGCTAACGAAGCGAATATTATGCCGGCAGCTACCAAGAAACGTTCGAAAGTCGTGGAATACTTAAACTGATTAAATAAGTAAAATTTAATAAGTAAATAAAAAGTGTACTTACATTAAGCGTTTTTTTATTAAATTAGTTAAATAATTTATAAATAGCTAATTGCAAATATATGAAAATGTATTAAATTAAACAAAAGCACAGGTTTTCTGTTTTAGCTTTGTTCGACAATAAATTCATTTTGATGTTTTATCATTTATAGATCAATTTGAGGTCTGCAATGCGTTTTTCGGTTAGTTTTCTGGCAAAATTGCCAAAAAAGTAAAGTTCAAAAATAGAGACTTTAAGGTGTTAACAACTTTTTTATTTTCAGTAATTAGCATTACATGTGAATTTAATTTGATTACATATTCAACATTTTACCTTGTGCAGCTTTTTTCAAACTCCCATCCTCTTTGCTTAAAGGGAGGAATTTTTCAAATATTTATTAAAATGATCAATTTTTAAAATATCCCAGAGATATGCCTTATTTTGAAAGGGAAGTTTGGTAAATTGGGGAAAGGACGTCTTAATGTTATTGCAAAGAATGATTTGTGGTTGAAAAGTTGAGATCAGTGCTTTTGATGCGATCGTGTAAGTCTTGTATAATTTAATTTATTTATGGATACTTATTAATATTTAAAAAATCAGTAATCGTTTGCATAAAGAAACCAATAATTTGTAAAATATTTAATATTTACTTTTCGTATTATAACTGAAAGCTTTGAAGATATGTTTATAGAAGGAACTTAGACCTTGGTTTATACAGATAGATAACAACCACAGATTGTTTGAACTGTGGTTGTCATAAATTCTCTAGCAACATGCCGCACGTTACGATTTGTACTCTGTATACACAATCATAAGGGAATAAAGTAGTTCAACTTATTTTTAATCAATATATTACAAAGAAACATATCCCTTAAGTCAAATTAGTAAGAAACCTATATCTGTATATTGCTAAACTCATATTTTTTTTTTGGCTTCTCTTCGGTTGTCGAATAAATCTTGCTAAACTCACACTTAGCAATAGCCCTTTTATAAAAATTTTCGAAGCAAAGATCGCTTTTTTTAGTCAGTACTTTATTATATTTTAATATATATAGAAACTGTTATATATACTTGTAGACTCGGAATAACATATAATATTATTTATTTAATACTTACTAATTGAAAATATGAAAACTGTTTCTCATTTGAGACTTTGGTTGTATTTTTTTCAACTGTGCTGAAATAAAAGAAAAGGATTAGTATACTCTTTTATATTAATATGTGGGTACGATAGGTAGGAAGTATATCGAGTTTACTGATACTATTATGGATATTAGTATAAAAAATTAGTAAAAAAAACAAAGTAATCTATTAATGAATGCTATGTGTTTTTTATTTTCCTTGTGGCTTTATTTTAAGGCAGATGAATACAACTTCTACATCGCCTGTAAAAGTAGTTTGAAATTTTTCATATTATTAAGTTTTGTATAAAATTATAAAATCAATAAATACAATTATATAATGAGAAAAACAAAACTTATTAATTCTGAAAAACTTTTTAAATTCCTGGACACTCCATGTCAGGTGATCTTATTAATTTAGAAAATTAATGAGGAGTAAATAAAAGATTAAATATATAAACTCAAAATAATAAAATTTTAAGAATATGATAAAATCGTCGTTCGGTTAATAAAAAATCTGTCCGAAATGAATATCCTTTCTGGGACTAATTTGTAATGACGTGCTTAAACTAGACTGTTCCAAACAAATAAACCAGATAATCTTGAACGTGCTCTATATTTATACTGCCCGAGCACCACTCTGACAGTTTTTTGTAAGGAACTTTACAAAATGCTTTCATCAAGATTGCATACCATATTTATAACTGATATGTTTACTTTAGCTTAGTTAAAATAGCAACTTTACATACAGCATGAGTTGCTGCTAATGATTCACCTCAAGCTACATCGTCATCTATTCAAAACGAACTACAAGGTATTGAGAGACGGTTTAATAAAAGCAAAGTAAAAGTTAATCCTGAAAAGTGCGTATAACATTTTCACTTTTTGATATACATATATATATATATATATATATATATATATATATATATATATATTCAGATAGATATATATGGTATATCAACTATATCAAATACCTGGTAATTTATTTAGATTGTAGACTAGAGTGAAAAACACATATAAAAGTAAAATAAAAATAATTTTACATCGCAGTAATGATCACGCATGCCTAATGGAGAAAAAATCGCAACTCAGCTTAGAAGACAAGTTAGGCTATACAAAATTACTTTAAGGCCCATTTAGATATTTTGCATTCAACTTTGGGGAACTTCGCTGTTCAACTTATACATTGAAATATTGTAACGAACTTTATAAAAATCTCAGAATTCTTTTTATCAATAATGAAATAAGTCAGCTCAGTTGTAGGTACTTTGATAAAGTAGAAATCCATTCAAATTCAAATCCATCCAAACTAGAATTCTATAGGGGTATTGCATATTATATCTATTTTGCATAAATTAAACCTAAAATGTCTGTTGAGTTATCAATCAAGTTCCCACAGCAAATTTTGATGATTGAAAACTGTTTACATCTCAAAGTTTTTAAACGTTAGAATCAGATTTTTTGAAATTCATTCAATAACGTTTTGAAAACCGGGCTAAGTTCATACGGGCTGAACGACAGCCATATACCGCTAAAATTAAAACTACACTAAAACTAAGGTTAGGTTATATCGGCGATCCCTAGTGGATCCACTTAGGTCTATTGGCCCATTATGTTATCATATATATAGAAAAAAACTATATAAATCCACCTAGAACCTTTGGTGAAGCCTAAAATGCTATTTAGTGTCAGGTCTTGTAATTGGTCAAGATCCTCAAGAAACGGGGTTCCTAAAGTATTGAATCGTCGCCGTGCATGAACTGGGCAAAAACATAGATGAAAGGCATTTTCCTCGTCTTCCCCACAGGTGAGACAGATTTGATTGAAAGGGAGACCTAATCTTCTAGAATGGTTCCCTAATTTACAGTGACCTTAAGTAAATCTACCAAAAAACTGATATCTTTACGGGGTATCTCAACGAGTATTTTGGATAATAGTAGTAAAAAATTTTTTAAATAGTTAGGTGCTTGGAGGAACATCAAATTCGAGTTCGAACATAAAATTAGATTGAGAATTTGACTTAGATTAATTTGTTTGATTCCTTAGAACTGATTATTAAAGTTTTTTTTAAGTAATAAGTAATATATTTTTAATATTTCAGCAATGAAATGGAGATTAAACTAAACAGTCTCAGTCAATTATATTGCCATTACAATATATTTGATATTATGTGATTGTATAGATGTTGAAAAATAAAAGTAATAACAACGAATTGTGCGGCCACCATTGCGTATGAGTGACATTTTATACAAGTGAGCATATAATTCAATCTGCTGTTAGTGCTGTAGATAATAATGTTTTTAATTAAAATTAAATATTTTGTTTAATTGTTTATTAGTAATATAAATTAAATAAATTACTTTTTAAATTCTTCTATACAAACTTTTCATTTATTGTCTGGAGATTATCTCTATCCGGTAAAGGTGTTGATTTCTCCTGAGAAGTTGTGCATGTTTTTTCTATAGGCAAAACTGATGTTCTCCGTTCTGTTGATTTGTTGAAACTACTGTTTGCCATGGTTTGTGTTATTATTAGCTTGATTAATTATTATTATTATTGTTTAAAATTAATATATGTTGATTTTATCTGATTGCGATTATGGCTTTATAAAGTTTAAGTTATTGTGAGTATAAGCAAAAGTATTTTCTTTGTAGTAAACCTCGATTACTGTGATTTTTTAAATTGTTTTAAAATAGAAGCTTTTATATGCATTTAGAAAAAGGACATCATTATAATCATTTTATAATTTTTCACATTGTTAAGATAGAAAAAAAATTTAATTTGATTAGAATTCAGCAAAATAGTTAATTACATACTAATAAAAAATTTTTTGTATCAATATGCATTAACATATTTAAAATTTTTTAATATTTCATGACTGAAGTGATAATTACTTCTTCTTATAACAATTCAACAGTTGTTGAGGTGTTCTGTATAGAACTAAAATCTTTCAGCGAAAATTCAAATATATTCTAGAAGTGACATAGACAAGATTGATTATATTTCTTCTTGCTGTATTTTTGAAATATATGTAGATTATATTGTCAAGGAGAGAGAGGGTCTATTCGTTGATCTCCCATAAATACATCACTGCATTCTAGTGTTTCAATTACGATAGAACTAGTATTATAATACTGAAAGTACAACACTACGTTTTATTGCAGTAGAATGAATGATTTAAAGAAGCTGCTTAGTGCAGATGCTAAATTGCTAATTTTAGCCATTTGCTAATTTCATATTAATAATATTAAATTATAAAATTTATTATTAATTATTGCTCAAAAATTACAGTTTATTGATACTTTTAAAAAGGATTATCTATTTTATGGTCCAGATTTACTAATTATGATATAGTAATATATTTCCTACGAAACTACCGTCTAAGAGATTATAAGTATAGCGTAAAGCTTGCCATTTTATAATAATAACCAATTAATATGCAAAAATTGTAGAACTTACTACAAAACTGTATTTGATTTCTTACATCAAAATACATCCTTAAAAAGTCACTGTATGGTGTGATACAAGGTTAATTTCTGATCGGTGAAGTCATATAATAATGTTTTTTTGGCATAAAATTAAAGAGATGAATTTTGAAAGATTTGTGATCTCAAGCGAACTGTGGTTACAAACCACCAGCACTTCCTGAATGGGATCTGTTAGGCGAAATGTGTATAATTTTACGTTTTTACAAAGATCTCATTGACGATGATATTTAAAATGCTTATTATTTGATTAATTTTTAAACTTTTGACATTTTCAAAGCAAACATCCATTAA